TATCACATTACAAAAGTATTTGCTTCAATATAAATGTATCTTAATTTTTGTATATTGTCATATTATAACTTAATCATCTATAGAAGACAACTATTTGACCAAATTAATTAGTCGTAACATTTTCAAATATAATGACATTAATGATTTGTAAAATAATGAAATCTTTACATATATGTATGTTGGTTTTCATTTTATATTTTGTGATTTTTTTTTCATTTTTAGTTTAGTGGATATTTTATTTTGGTTAATGGATGCAAATTAGTTTTTAATTTGTATGTGAACTTATATTTCCACAATTTACTTGTTTATATATTTTTCAAATTCTAAAATTAATTTTGTTAAATCCCGATAAAAAGCTAGCTTATATTGATTAATTTTCTCATTAATTTAGTTTGAGTTATAAATTATATTATGCTACTTATTTACAATATGTAAGATAAAAAATATAAGAGAATAGTATTTTGAATTATATGGTAATGAACCCAAGTAATATACTATATCGAAAAACGAGTTTAATATATTAGGGGAATAATAATTGATAATATTAGAACTTATAGGAAATATTTATGGATTTAATTAACAAAAAAAATAATGTTAAGCATTTATATTATAAAAGAAATTACGAAATGCACAAATTTTAGTAAATAATTAAAATAATATATTATTAAATAATATTTTATTATATTTTCATAACAACAATTGATTTTTACTTATATTATTTATAAGTTATTAATTACTTTGTAACTTTTAGATAACATTTTATGAATAATTAAAATAAAATGTTATTAAATAATATTTTATTATATTTCTATAATAACAACTTGATTTTTAACTTATATTATTTTATAAGTTATTAATTACTTCGTAATTTTTAATGGCTTAACATTTTGTTAACTTTCTAATTTTCTCCAATAAATTTTGGGTGGAAAAATTCCTTACAAAAAATAGTTCACTTGCTTTTGTTTAGTGCAGCTGTGTCTGCTTTTCTCTCCTTTATGGAGTTTGCGTCTCTTTTTTGGAGTTTTGCTTTGTGGTTGTTCGTCTCCTTGATGGAGTTTGTACCCTCTTGTGTGTGTTGACAAGTTGGGTTGGTCCAGTCTTCTGGTTCCAGTGTGTCACTTGACACTTCGGGTGTAGTCTTTTGAGTTTTTAAGTTATTAATATAATTGTTGTTTGAAAAAAAAAAAGAAACGCATGTGGATGAGAAATAAACGAATAAAGTGCAAAAGACTTGTGAAACTCTTAACTAATACGGATGCAATTTTTTGATTAGTTTCGGGTTTTGGATGTCAACTTATATAATACACTTATGATTTATTAAGCAACCCATTAGTTCTTCATTTTAATGTCATGTAATTGGTTTTTGAAATAGCTGTTGATCTCTTTTTTTATATTTCTATTTTTTCAACTTAATGTTTTTCAAACTAATGCAGGGAAAATGAACTAACATGTGGTATTTCATGTTAAATAAATTTTTAAGAAACTA